TGGATACATTTGTGCATGCTGGGGAGGGGGCAGACTTGGATGTTCTGTGTGTCTTTGGCCGACGGAGGGTCTCATGTTCTTGAGAGATGATGATATGTCCTAGGTCCGATTGCGTATGTACGTTTACACCTATAGTTTTGTATACACGTGTACATAAATGTTAAGATGCATAGTTACGCATGTGTGTGGTGTATGTGCGTATCGAGTGGCCTTCGGCCCATGCGGCCACCGTGCCTGGGTTGTGGGTTAGAGGCCTCTTGGATATTCGTTTGGATATCGTGGGGGTCGTCTCGGGGGCCTCTTGGAGGCAGTTTTGAAATCTCTTAGGGGGCCGTTTGGGGGCCTACTGCGCCTGTTTGTGGGTTCCTTTTGGGGCCTCTTGGGGGCCTCGTGGGGCCTCTAGGTCGCCTGGGCTTTCTTGGGTGCCTCTTGTGGCCTCCTGGGGGCATCTTGGGGCGGAAGGCTCGAATTGTCGGTTCGTGTTCCCCCTCTTGGGCCCCTCTTAGGGCCGTCTTGGGGCCCTCTTGGGCGATCTTGGGCGCCTCTTGGGCAGTTTGGGGGACCTCTTGGGGGACTCTTGGGCTGTCTGGGTTCGGTCTTGGGGGCCTCCGTGGCCATCTTGGGGCGTCGGAAGACCGAAAACGCGAGAACGCGAAAAACATCGAAACACACAAGGAACATCAATGATGTTTGCTTCTTGGGGGTCTCTTGGGTGTCCTCTTGGAGCAGTCTTGGGGCTTCTTTGGGGCCTGTTGGGCCGTCTTGAGGCCATCTTGAATGTCTTGGAGCGCTCTTGGGCTGTCTTGGAGGCCTCTTGGAACCTCTTGGGCGCTGTCTGGGGCTCTCTTGGCCCGTCTTGGGGCCCCCTGGCATTTGGAAAAGCCACGCGAGGTAGCCCAGGAGCACGCGGGAGCGCCCAGGAAACGATAATCTGGGGCCCCAGCCCTCAGAATGCTAGAATCCCCCAGTCCCGAGTGCAGAGAACAGAGGACACAGGAGAGCCTGGGGGGAATTACACTTCAGGCCTCAAGGTACGGTGGCAGCTATTTGAAGCAGTCAAGAGACGGCCTCGCCTTCGAGGGTCGCAGGAGTTGACACCTCGTCTCCTCGGCAGAAGGCCGGCGGAGGGCGGCGGAGGCCAGCGGAAGTTAAGAGTCGGTTGCCCAAAAGATGGCGAGGTTGTTTGGTCCAGGGCTGTTTGAACCCGCCATACGGTGGAGTATTTGATCCAGGTTTTTTGGGGTCCAGGGTTGTTTGAACCCGCCATACGGTGGAGTATTTGATCCAGGGTTTTTTTGGTCCAGGGTTGTTTGAACCTGGCATACGGTGGAGTATTTTTGTTGGTCCAGGGTTTTTGTTGGTCCAGGGTTTTTGTTGGTCCAGGATTTGTTTTGGTCCAGATCGTCACCTTGGAGTATTTGATCCAGGGTTTTTTGGGGGTCCAGGGTTTTTTGGGTCCAGGGTTGTTTGAACCCGCCATACGGTGGAGTATTTGATTCGGAAACCTCCTCCCGAACAGCTGGGCCAGCGGTTCTCAGCCAACTTGCTGGAAAGCTGGCCCAGCTTCCTCAGCACGGTCGCCCCTCCAGCGTGGGCAGACAAAGGTGGCCAAGGCTTGTTGGAAGAATTTCCGGACAGCTTGCACAGGTGTTTTGGGTGATGGTTTTGGGGGTCATTCTCCCGGCTGTATATGATGGAGGATGACGATTAAAAAATGACCGGGGGTTGTGTTCACGCGGCGGCGCCCGGGATGACGATTAGAAAAAACCGGCCGCGGGCTGGAAAACTATTTTTTAACCGTTCTCCTCCAGTCCGAAGATTGTGCAGAAGTAGCAGAAAACTATGTTGGTTAATCGTTCTCTCCCACTTTTTAATAATCGTCATCCCGCATTATATATATATATATACACAGATCTGCCCACAATCGTGTGACCGTCACGCCTCCTCCTCCTCCTCCTCCACCGCCTCCTCCTCCTCCTCCTCCTCCTCTTCCTTCGCCTCCTCCTCCTCCTCCTGCTGCTCCTCCTGCTCCACCTCCGCCCTCCTCCGCCCTCCTCCTCCCTCCTCCTCCTCCTCCCCTCCGCAAGCAGCAGCAAGCAGCAAGCGAAACTGGGCGCGTGGGCACCGCTACACCGTGGAGCGCACCACGTGCCGCGACGCGGTGGGCTGGGGGCGCGAAGCAGTGCGCGGCGCGCAAGTCGTGGGAGCCTGGTGTGCTTTTCCCGGTCCCCATCCCCCCCCTTGCATTGTCTTGCATTGCCTTGCAGTGTCTTGCATTGGCTTGCACTGGCTTGCATCGTCTTGCATTGTCTTGCGTTGTCTTGCATTGTCTTGCAGTGTGGTGGATGCGGCAGCAAGTCATGGGAGCCTTGTATGCTTTTCCCGGTCCCCCTCCCCCCTCCCCATCCCCATCCCGATCCACACCATCCCACCACCCCAGTTGGGGATAGGCCCCTCGAAGCCCGCAGGGAACAGCCTATATCCCCATCTAGGAGTGTCAGTCGGCCAGTGGGGCCCAGGCCACGCCAGTGGGGATAGGGATCGGTGAAAGGACAACCACTACCCTCGTAACTCCGTCTTTGAAGTGGACTAGCGTCGATTTGCGCCTGGTAACCGAAGAGATCGCGCCGATTCAACGTCGACTAGCGACGATGATCGTCGATTTAGCGTCGATTTGCGTCGGCTAGCGTCGACTAGCGTCGATTAGCGTCGATCCGCAAGTGCCAACAAGATGGAATGGAAGGGTCTCATGAGTTGCCACAGAAGGTGGACGCTCTACCTGACCATCTACGCGCTGGCGGCCTCGGTGCTACCCGTGTGGGCGACGCTGCAGATCCAGACATGTTAGGCCTCCCAGATGAGGTCGGAGCAGATGGGGCTTCAGGATCGCACCGCATCGCCGATGCATCGGCGCGATCGACTCAATGTTGAGCCCGACCTTTTTCCTCGCGGACATCGCCGCTGCATCGGCGACGTGGCCGATGCACCGCGATGCGGCGAGATCCTCCGACCCCATCTGCGCCAGCCCCATCTGGGAGGCCTCCAGACATGCCGGCGTCGTGCAAAACAGCGACAGGGGGCGCGGGCCGTTTTTGGCCTCCGAGGCCCTCGCCAGGCCCCAGGGCCGCCAACAAATCTGAAGGGGCCCCAGGACACAAATAAATACACACAGATAAAAATATTCCCCATATATTTCCATATTGTCTGGTTTTTGTCTCCCCCCCACTTCCCATGTTTTCCAATATTTTCTGGGGAATCGACGATTAATTGTGTCTGTGTGTTTTTTCCTTTCTGAAAATCGATCAGGATGTAGAGCCAGTCCTGGGGAGTGGGTCGAGACTTTCAGGAGTCGACGTTGTGACAAAAACACGACGTCGGGAGTCTGGGGAGGGCATCTCAGGAGCAGCACAGAACGACGTACGTGTGCACGAGCCTTCGTATGTGTCGAGAGTCCCTGAGATCCTGGCTTTGCAAATGTTTCGCACCAGGCGTTTTCGCTGGGTCTCGGGACCAAGGACCCTCACACATTGGCCCAGCTCGAAGAATGCAGCAGAAAGATGGAGTCTAGTGCTCCAGTTGTGTCTCTTTGTCATGCTGCAAGTTTTCGCAACGTCGGATCTCAGGATACTCGTGCAGGAACGATGGGGTCTAGGGCCTAGGGCTGAATTTCTGATGTATCGCGATGTTGCATTTTTTTGTAACGTCGGATCTCAGGGTACGTGTGCACGAAGGTCCCGGTATGCTCTCTTCCAGGAAGTATATTCATAAGCGCCCATTTTCGGAGGTCCGTGCGGATCTCTTGGATCGGCGGTGAACTCCCCTGGCGGCGCCTCCAGCGCTGCCCCTGGCGCGCCCCGCCCAATTCAAGAAATCCGCGCGGATCTTCGACAGCTTATTCGGGGGTGGACAGACCTCCTACCCCGACACGTCGATTAGTGAATTGTCCGTTTTCGGTTCTCGAGAGGGCGCCGCGGCCGTCATTTTCCAGGCTTGCGCCCGCCAGGTTTGGGCCCGAGGTCGTTTTCACTAAACCACGTTTTACTAAAGGGAGGTCTGTCCATCCCCGACTTATGTAAATGCAGACGTTTCTCCTCGGAGGAGGGCCCGTCGAGACCGCGGCCCTGTCTGCCGCTCTTGTCGTCCTTTTTCCGGGCCAACGGGGGGCTTTCTCGTCGCCACGGCCGGATCTGCCGCAGAAGCGGATCAGGATAGAGCCCGGGACATGTCCAGAGAACCGATTCTGAGGGCATTTGTTTGGCATCGCTCGGACGTGTGCATTTTTCTTTCTGCGAGGACCTTCTAGGAGCATCCTCGAAAATTTGGCGAAAAAACCACGCACGAAACCGAAAAAAAAACACGAAATGGACGTCCGAGCGATGGCCAGTGTCCAGAGAACCGATTCTGAGGGCATGTGGGTGGGGCGGGAGAGCCCGGGACATGTCCAGAGAACCGATTCGGAGGGCATGTGTCGACGGGACGTGAGAGTGACCTTTCGCCAGAGTGACCGTTGGTGCGGGCACAGCTGGGTCCCCAGATGGCTGAATAACGAAGAAGGAGCAGCGGCTTGCGCGCCCAGGTTTGGTCCCCCCTCGGCCCCCAGAAAGCCGCGCACCAGAGGTCACTCTTACCCAGGGTCACTCTTGCGTGTAGCCGAGGCACTTGGGTGGGGCGGGAGAGCCGTCGTTGTCTCAACGGACCCCCCTCCGAGTACTCGCCCTCGCGGTTCGCGGTCGAAGCCGGGAGGGTCTAGACGGTAGGCCTTCGCCGGATAGACGCGGCGCTGACCCAGGCGCGGTCGTCCAAGATTGGGCCGCGCCAGCGGCCTGGAATCACCCTCGCTATCGGAGAAGCCGCGATCGCGCAAGGCTGAGCGATCCACGCGGTGCAAGGAACCAACGCGCGCAGGTAGTCGCGACACGAGCCTGTTGTACACAAGCATGGGGCCCGGTATAGTCCTGACCAGGCATGGTGGTGCTGCGTAGATGCCTCCTGCGGAGGTGATGCTGCAGCCGCGGGACTTTATCAACAGCCACCAGCTGAAGGTCTGCATGGCCCTCATGGTGCTCGGGCTGCTCGTGAGAAGCCCGAAGCTCGATGCCGTGGCCATCCGCACCGACGTCGATGCAAACGCAGCGCCCATCTTCCCCACGCTCTTCACCACGATCGCGTGCGGCTCGGTCTCTTTCCTCGCCCACCATCCTCTCCACTACCTCCGCATGTCTCTCATGCCCTGCGAGCCATTTGGCCTCCTCCTCCTCCTCCTCCTCCTCCTCCTCCTCCTCCTCCTCCTCCCTCCTCCTCCTCCTCCCCCTCCCCCTCCTCCTCCTCCTCCCTCCTCCTCCTCCTCCTCCTCCTCCTCCGCCTCCTCCTCCTCCTCCTCCTCGGTGCCTCCTCCCCCTCCTCCTCCTCAGTGGGCGCTCCCCTTCGCGCAGGTCAGCGGCTTCCACAGCCTGGTGGCCAGCGGGGTCACGTCCAAGCAGCTGGACAAGATGCGCGACGCGAGGCCGCCGCGGCCATCCAGCCTTGGGGGGGGGCACCTCCCCTCCACTCTCCCCCGCCCGGGGGGCTCTCCCGTCATCCCCCCTCCTCCACCTTGCCCCTCCATCGTCGCCCAATGCGCCTTCCCCTCCTCGCCTGCCCCTCTGCCCTGTCCCCCCCCCCCCGCCCTTCCCGTCCTCCTGCTTCCGCCTCCTCCCTCCTCCCTCCCCAGCTCGTCCTCTTCGCCCACCTCATCCAACTCTTACTCCTTTTCCTCCTCCTCATCCTCCTTCTCGTTCTCCTCCATCTGCCACGAAGCGACAGTCAGTCGGCAGCTGCGCGGAAACGGAGGGCGAGGCGCCTGGAGACAGGGGGAAGGGGGGAGGGGGGGGGGTGCAGGTCAGGCGATCGCAAACATGGATCAAGGGGGAGTGGATTAGCGACGTGTCCCGCTTCAATGGGAAATCACAGATCTCCGCCGCCGAACGAGGCGTCGCCGGCCGCATTTTGGGGAGAGCACCTCCCCTGATCCATGGATTTGGCGACCGCGCACCAGATCCATGGATCGTGAATCCATGTCTGCGCGCCCCCCGAGCAAGGGAGCGGGGGGGAAGCAGGAGAGAGGTGCGGGGGAAGGAAGCTGCAGCGAAGGGAAGAGGGGGGGGGATGAGCGGAGGAGGAAGGGAGCGGAGGGAGCGGAGGGAGCGGAGTAAGAGAGGAGGGGGGCGGGCAAGGGAAGAGGGAGGGGAAGGGGGGACGGAGGAGGAACGGGGGAAACAGGGGGAGCGAGGTGCGGGGGTGGGAGGGGCAGCAGGAGGAGGAGGAGGAGTACGTGGGAGGAGGGAGGGAGGAGGGCCAGAGTGAGCTCAGGAAGCGCCGGGGCTGCTGCAAGGCTTCCCTTTTCACCCCCCTCGCACGGCCTTTCGCAGACCTGCCCTCTCGCGCCACAGGGAGCGCCGCCCTGAAGGACGAGCCACCGATCGGCCTGCCGTGCAGGCGAGAGCCCCGCGTCAGGAGAGGACGGCCTCTGCACCTCTCGAGCGACGTTGGAAGCAATGCGAGCGTCCTAACTTTGCATGCTCCAGATTTCGTAATCAATGGAGGGGGGTCTCGTAGAGGTAATGCGAACGTCCTAACTTTGCATACTCCAGATTTCGTAAGAAAAGGGAGGGGGGGTCTCATTTCGGGGGGGGTCTCTTCCAGGCTATCTTGGAGGGCCTGTGGGGGGGTCTGGGGACGATGTTTTGGAGGGTTCTCCCACGGGGGGGGGGGGGTCTGAAATGGCTTGTCTTGGAGGGTCCAGACCCCCTCCCTTTTATTACGAGATCTGGAGTGCGTGCCCCGCGAGAGCCTCACAGTGGCGGTGCAGTGAGGCGTGCTGGCCGTAGCCAGCGGGGTCGGGGTGACGGCGGCCAGGGCGGCGCCAGCGCGCGACGCGTGGTAGACAACTCCGTGGGACGAGAGGGGGCGGAATCTGCTGGGGGGGGCGTCCGGATTCGAGTGCATTGGTTCATGGGGGCTTGCCGCGCCTGCAACGGCTGCGACCGGCTCGGGGCCACTTGATCAGGCCATAGGTGAGTTGGTGCACAGGTGCCCACGCTTGCTGTTCATCGACGGCGGTGGGCAGCCAGCTCGCACCTTCCCAGTGTGCCTCGTCGGGGCACAGCGGCGATGCAGTGAGGCGTGCTGGCAAAAGCCAGCGGGGTCGTAGTGACGACGGCCAGGGTAGCGTTATGTCGGGCCTGTCCCCCTACAGTGGGATTTTTGACGGAAAATGAAAAATACCCCAACAATAGTCAAAAAATAGTCCAAAAATAGTCTGGGGACTATTTTTTGATAATTTGTTTACCTTTCGGGGGTATGTTTGGGGTATTTCTTATTTTTCGTCGAAAATCCCCCTGTAGGGGGACACGCCCGACTTAAGGGTAGCGCCATCGCGCGAAGCGTCATCAGCACGTGCGCGGGAGGAGAATGGGGGGCAACGGGAGGAGGAGGATGGGATTATGGGTGATTGGTGAATGTTGGTCTGTCGCGCCTGCAGCGGCTGTGACCGACTCGGGGCCACCTAAGCAGGCCAGAGGTGAGCTAGGACACGGATGCCAGTGCCCGTTCATCGACAGTGGCGGTGGACAGCCCAGCACGCACCTCCCCAGAGCAACTCGCAGAGGCACAGTGGCGGTGCAATGATGCGTGCTGTCCGTTGCCAGCGGAGTCGGGGCGGCGGCGGCCGGGGCAGCACCCTCGCGAAGAGGGGCGTGCGCAAGTGCGTGGGAGGAGGAGCAAAGGACGGGGGGAGGGCGGGAGCGGAGGTCAATGGTTGATGTGGGCTTGCCGCGCCTGCAACGGCTGGCCGACACCGGCGGGGTCGGGGTGACGGCGGCAGTGGGCCGCGCCATCGCGTGGAACGTCACCGGCAAGGGCGTGGGGGCAGAAAGGGGGGTAACAGAGGGGAGCGGCGGGATCAGAGGTGAATGGTTAGTGTGGATTTGCCGCGCCTGCAGCGGCTGTGACCGACTCGGGGCCACCGAAGCAGGCCAGAGGTGAGCTGGGACACGGATGCCAACGCCTGTTCATCGACAGGAGCGGCGTAGTGAGGCGTGCTGGCAGAAATCAGCGGGCTCGGGGTGACGGCCAGGGTAACGCCATCCCGCGAAGTGTCATCAGCACGTGCGTGGGAGGAGAAACAGGGGGAGAAGAGGGGGGGGATTGGATTGGAGGTGATTGGTACATGTAGTTTTGCCGCACCTGCAACGGCTGTGACCGACTTGGGGTCACCTAAGCAGCCCAGAGGTGAGCTGGTAAACGGATGTCAACGCCTGCTCATCGACAGCAGCGGGCAGCCCAGCTCGCACCGCCCTTTGTTGCCTCGTAGAGGCACAGTGGCGGTGCAGTGAGGCGTGCTGGCCGTAGCCAGCGGGGTCGGGGTGACGGCGGCCAGGGTGGCGCCATCGCGCAGAGTGGCGCAAGCAAGGTTGTGGGAGGAGGAAGAGTAGCAGGAGGAGGGAGGGTCGGAGAAGAGGTCAATGGTTGATCTGGGCTTGCCGCGCCTGCAACGGCTGTGACCGACTCGGGGCCACCCAAGCAGGGCGAAGATGAACTAGCACACCGATGCCAACGCGTGTTCATCGACAGGGGTGGATTTTCTGGGTCCCTCTCCCACACGAGCCTCGTGGAGGCACAGTGGCGGTGCAGTGAGGCCGTGCCCCGTCCAGGCAAATGGACGCAGGACCGCCGGCATTTCCGCCGGCCTGTGTCGTGGAGGTCAGTACCTCAGTTGTGCGAGTGTGGAGAGAGTGCACAGTACCGCTGACATTGCGGCCATTCGGTGTTCTGGAGGTCGATGCCTCGCGAGTGGGGTACATGTTCAGGCCCGCGGCGTAGTCACCAGGTTGTGCCTTGAACCTAGTGCCTCTTTCTTGCACGCACGTGTGGGAGGTAAACATCAAGCAACGGCGAAGCGTCCTGGCTCGCCTATAGGCCCCCTAAATAATGTTGTAAGAACTTGTTGTGGTCTGCACGAGATGTTATTAGAACATGTCTGGCCGAGACTGTCTTGCTTTAACACAGCGGACAAGTTTCTTAAGAACATTGTCTTTGTATTAGAACATTCGTGGGTTCTCAAGCATTTCGTGGCAGGCATATAGGAATTCCGGGACGGTCGGTCCCTGCTCAAAAACAAGCCGCCAGCGTTTCCGCCGGGCTATGTCCTGGAGGTCGGTCTCTCCGGTGTGCAGGTGTGGAATGGAAGCAGGACCGCTGGCATTGCCGCTGGACAGTGTCGTGGGGCATTCTGCACTCTTAGTGGCGCACCGTGCGTTCCCAGCCGACTTCCCCAGAGGAGTACCGAGCAGCATTGGCACGGGGAGGAGTAGAAGGAGGAGGAAGAGGAGGAGAAGAGGGAGAGAAGGAGGAGGAGGAGGAGGAGGAGGAGGAGGAGGAGGGACGGCGGGAACGGGGGAGCACAGAAATGAAGGGAGGACAAGGGCGGGCGGGAGGGAATGGAGCAAGGGTACTTGTGTCTTGTCGGAGAGCACGGGAGGCAGAGAGTATAGCGGAGGGGAAAAGGAGTAGCAGGAGGAGGTGAGGCGGAGGAGGAGGAGGATGGAGGGCAGGATGAGGGAGGAGGACGTGAACGAGGAGGAGGGTAAGGCGACGGATGGATGAGCTTCGCCAGTGAGGCCAATCGGCTATACCGCGATGCTCGGGGAGTCTGCATTGGCGGCGCTGGTCATCGTGGCTTGCTGTTCATCGGGGACTTGGGCGTCCAACTACGGGTCGTCTTCCTCATCAGGAAGAGGGTCAGGGAATAGAGGAGGGGGGGGGGCAGGAGGATAGGTGATGCGGGGTTGGAGGGGGGGGAGGGAGGGAGGGAGGGAGGCCAGGAGGACAGGAAAGGAAAGGAGGAGAAGGAATGCGGGACATGGAGGATGAAGGAAGAAGGGGAAAAGGTGATTGTGAATACGGAGGGAGGTTGAGATGGAAGGAGGATGAGAGGGAAGGAGGGAAAGGGCGGGAGGATGGAAGGGGAGGAGGGATGATGCGGAGGAGAAATAAAGAAGCAGAGAAGAGGGAGTTGGATGGATGAAGGATGAGGTTGATGAGGTGAACCGAAGGGTGGAGCCAGAGGGTGAAGCTAGATGGAGGAAGAGATGGTGAGGCGGGAGAAGGGGATGCAGGGGGTGGAGGAGGGAGGAGGGGGCGAGTAGGTCCTTCTCCTCCTCGATCACCCCCTTCCTTCTCCCCCTCTCCTGTCTTCCCCTCTTTGACCATTCACCCATCCCCATCTTTCTCACGGTTTCTAGGCGCATCGCATTCATCGTCCCGATTCCTTTTCCTACCGCACCTACACCATTATTCACCATGCATCGGCCCCATTCCTCTGTCATCCCCCATCCGTCGCCGTCGTCCCTCCACCGCATCCCCACGCCATCCCCTTACGGAATCCTTCCTTCGAACCCGGCATCGTAATGTATGATGCATTGCGCTCTCGTCCCATCCCCCCGATCTCCCCAAACAATTTTGGCATATTTCTCGTGTCCTTGCTCATCCACCCTCCTTCACATATCCTACCTATCATCCCTCCCACTTTCCTTCTCGTCTCGCAGTACAGTCGGGGCCCTGAAGAAGGAACCCTTTTCGTTGGGGAGGGGCTCCGCGTTCCTGAAGTGTTTCGCAGCTTGCCTCAGGTTTTCCTTATGTTTTCGATCGGGAATCGACGTTTAACTCATGGAAAAAAGGGGCCTCGTTCCTTATTTTGGGTTCCTTAGGTCAAGCCCCCGACTGTATCTCCGTCGCCGGCCTTGTCCTGCAGTTTCCTCGCGTCCTGTGCGCCTTCTTGCTTCAGGACCTCCTCGTCATGGTTCGCTCCTCGTTGATGCATAATCCCTCGTCCCTTTTCTCGCTCCCACATACCCCTCCTGCTCTCCCTGGCCTTTCCCCCTCAATTTCTTCGACCCGTGCTCAGCACCCCTCCCTTCTTCCAGCAGGTGCGCGAAATAAGGCATTGGCTTATCAAAGGGTGCACCACGAGACTTTCCTAGCCCACGATGGGTCCACAGTCGTGGGACACCTTACGAAGCTCAGAGTCGACGAATGATATGCCCACGGATTTCTGATAGCAGGAATTCGCACCGCGTGTGCCGCGCGTGCTTCCATCGCGACCCTCATCGCCATCAGTCTCATCATCAGCATCATCATCTTATTACATATTCCCGAACTCTCCAACTCCTCGTTGTTCTCCCTCATGCGGTTCCTCACTGGTCATCTCTCGCTTTCTCTCCCTCTCTTTCCCTGTCCTTGTCTGTCTCTCTCTCTCTCTCTTCCTCTGTCCCTGTCTGTCTCTCGCTCTCTCTCTCTCTCTTTCTCTCTCTCTCTCTATCGCTCTATCTCCCTCTCTCTCTCTGTCTCTCTCCCACTATTATATCTATTTCTCGTGTTTTTTGTTTATATATCTATATATATGTATGCATATGTAAATATACATGTAATTATCTTAGCTATATATATATATACACACAAGATTTTACCAGCTCGCTTCGCTTCGCCTTTTTAAAATCTTGGTCGCATGGCGCCTGGAAAGCTCGCTGCGACCAACTGTTGGGCTTGTTTGGCCTGCTATGTGTCGTGGGCCTCATGGGGGCTCGTGGGGCTCGCGGGGCTTGAAGGGTCATAGTGGTTGCTCGGTGGCCGCGGCTCACGGACGTCATGGGGCTCATGGAGCGTGAGCTCGTGGGGCCCGTAGGGCTCATGGGGCTCACAGGGCCCATGAGGTCGGAGGGCTCGCGATCGACTCGTGGGGCGTGGGTGGGGCGCAAGCGTTCGCGGGCACACAGGGCTCACGGTGCGCGTAGTTTGTGTGGTTCAGAGGGGTCATGGGGCTCACTGGTTTCGCCATGCGCGTGGGGCCTACGGGGTTCCAGGGGTCAATGGGCTTGTGGGACTCGCTGGGTTGGTTGGGGAATAGGGGTCGGACGTCTAAGGGGCGTGTAGGGGTCATGGGCTCCTGGGGCGCATGGGGAGCGTAGGGCTCGTAGGGCTCGTGACCTCGTGGGGCTCTTCGGCCTCGCGGGGCTCGCGCGGTTCGCGCGGCCTTTGAGCTCGGATGACTCGTCGGGCTCGCAGCGCGCACCGGGATGATGGGTTTGTAGGGCGCCCAGGGCTCGTGGGCTCTCTGGGCTCGTAGGCTCTCTGGGCTCGTCGGGCTCGTGGGGCTTGTACGCTCGTAGGGCATGTGGGGCTCATAGGGCTCGCAGGGCCCGTAGGCCCGTAGGGCTCGTGAGTTCGTGGGCCTATAGAGCTCGTAGAGCCCGTAGGTCCGTAGGGCTCGTAGGGCCCGTAGGCCCGTAAGGCTCGTCGGCTTGTAGGCTTGTAGGGCTCGTGAGCTCGTATGCCCGTGAGGCTCGTAGGGCTCGTATGCTCGCAGGGCTCGTGGGGCTTGTGGGCCCGTGGGTCTCGTGGGGCTTGCAGGGCCGGTAGGTCCGTAGGGCTCGTAGGCCCGTGGAACTCGTAGGGCTCGTAGGACTCACGGGGCCAACACGCTCGTAGGGGTGGTAGGGGTCGTAGGGCTCATGGGGCTCGTAGGGCTGAAAGGGTTCATGCGGCACCATGAGGCACCGTAGGGCGCGTCGGGCTCACAGGGCTCGTAGGGCTCATGGGGCTCACAGGGCTTGCGGGGCTCATGGGGCTCGGAGGGCTAGTGGTACTGGAGGGCCCGTAGAGCTCATAGGACGCGTAGGGCTCGTGGAAGTCGTAGGGCTTGTCGGGTTCATACGGCGCCCGGGGCTCGCGGGTTTCATAGGGCTCGTAGGGCTCGTGGGGCTCATGGGGCTCGCAAGCGTCTTAGGGCTCGTAGGGCTCGTAGGGCTGGTTGGAGTCAGTGGTGTCGTAGGGCTCGTGGGGCTGACAGGGTTCGTGGGGCTTGTAGGTGTTTGGGTTCTCAGGGCTGAGAGGGCTCATATGGTTGGTAGGGGCTGTAGGGGTAATTGGGGTCGTAGGGCTCGTAGGGCGTACAGGGCAATGGAGGGCTCATGGAGCTCGGAGGGGATATAGGGCACCGCGGGGCTCGTAGATCTCATAGGGCGGATGGGGGTCGCAGGGGCATGAGGCGCCACAGGGGTCGCAGGGCTCATGTGGTCGACAGGGCTCATATGGCTGGTAGGGGTCATAGGGTACTGTAATTGAGGTCGTAGGGCTGGTAGGGTTCACGAGGCTTGTAGGCATTAGGGCTCGCAGGACTCATAGGGCTCGCAGAACACATAGGGCACTGCAGGCCTCGTAGGGCTCGTTGGGGAAAGAGAGGTCGCAGGGGTCCCGGGTGTCATAGGGATGTTGGGGCTCATATGGGGTCTTGAGTGTCATAGGGCTCGTAAGGCTCATAAGGCTGAAGGGGTTGATAGGCCCGTAGGTCTCATGGGGGACGACAACGGCGGCGACGAAGACGACGACGGCGACAATGAAGACGAGGACGAGGGGCCGTAGAGCTCATTGAGCTCATATGGCTCTTGGGGCTTATATGGCTCATAGAGTCTTCAAGCTGGAAGGGCTCTGAGGGGGCAGAGGGCAGGAGCCTATGTACGGGGCAGCGTGCGATTGGAGAAAGTGTCGGCTCCTGGACCGAAGCCAAAACATCGGCGACGTAGATGTCCCCCTGGGTGGCGGCGTGGGAAGAAAAAATCATGTTGAGCATGGTAGCGGAAAGCAATGAATATGGCATGTCGGGGCCTTCGTGGGGCTCCTTATGGAGCTCTTTTGGGCTGTTTGGCGGCTCTCCGGGGTTGTCCCGAGGTCCCCCGGGGTGGCGGCGTTGGAGACAGAAACAGTGCGGAGCATGGCAGCGGAAATCAAATAATATGGCATGTCGGGGCCTTCGTGGGGCTCCTTTTGGGACTCTGTTGGGCTGTCTGGCGGCTCTCCGGGGTTGTCCCGGGATCCTCTTGGGCCGTCCTGGGGAGATTGGGCCATTTGGGGACATTCTTGGGTGCCTCTTGGGGCCTTCTTGGGGCTCTCTTGGACGCCTTTTGGGGCTGTCTTGGAGCTCTCTTGGGCCGTCTTGGAGCCCTTTTGGGCTGTCTTGGGGTCCTCTTGGGGGTATCTTGGGTCGTCCTGGGGCGATCTTTGGGGCCTCTTGGGCCGTCTTGGACGCAGTGAAGGCCACAGAAGCGAATATGGTAAAATTGTAAGCTTCCCGAAGGGAATGGGACGATTTTTGCGTTGTGGGGGTCTCCTTGGGGGCGTCTTGGGGCGTTTTGAGAGCGTCTTGGGCCGTCTTGAAGCCAACCTGAAATCTTGTTGAGCGCTCATGGGCCGTTCTGGAGCGGTCGTGGGCCGTCCTCGGGATTTGCGGGACCGTCCGGGGATAGCCGGGAGAGGCTCCCGAAGCCGAAATTCGATTTTCACGTCGGTGGGAGCGCCCAGGGCCGAATCTATGTACGGGGGGGGGGTCAGGGGGGGTTTTCCGCTATAAGACTATTCGAAGAGGAATATATGTATATATATATATATATATATATCTCTCTCTCTCTCTCTCTCGGAGGGTGGGGGTTGAGATCGCAGCGGAACGGAGACCCCCAACCAGGAAATCGTTTCGTTTATTTCGTGTCGTGCGCGCAGGCGAGGAAAAGCTACGTGGGCGCGCGAGAGGAATGAATCCGCCGCTGCTAGGGCGAAGTCAAGACAAATGATGATCCCCCGTCTGTCCGTCCGTCCAGCGGTGGCCCTAGCGGTGACCCGCGGTGTTCCGTGGTGTCCCGTAGGGTCCCGTGGTGTCCGCCGCTGC